GAGGACATGGAAAGGTGAGGAATTGAAGGGGAAAAAAACGGCTCTGTAATGTTGGGATTCAACCAGACTGCATTAGGTGGAAAGTAAAAGAACAACATAACTCCTTTCTAAATCACTACTGCTTCTAAAGTCATCATCATCATCATCATCATCATCATCTCATCATTAAACACACAATGACTTGTAAAAAAAAAATCAAAGTTGTTTGACTTGCCCATCACTTCAGTATTTAGCACTCATAGTTTTAGCTTGCCCTCATAGTTTTAGCAGAATCATTTGTTCTAGAGGAAATTCTGATGTTTTTGTGTGTGTGTGTGTGTGTGTGTGTGTGTGTGTGTGTGTGTGTGTGTGTGTGTGTTGTGTATAGCTGCTTGCCGAGCTTCTCCGGAGTAAAAATCCAGAAGACCTCCAGGAAGCCAACAGATTAATCAAAAACATGGTGAAAGAGGTGAATATTTAACACAGTCATCCTAATATTCATTTTGCACTGCTTTTAATTGGCTTGCTTGCTGCTATGGGGACACACGAAAATAAGTTAACGTTTGAACTTTAGCTAAGACATACATATTCTTCATGTGTGACATGAACAGCTGCACGTGTAGTATACAGTACGTTGTTGCTTGTCGTCTTTGTCAGGATGAGGCACGAGTGCAGAAGGTTACAAAGCGAGTGCACACGCTGGAGGAGGTGAACATCAACGTCAAGCTGCTGACTGAGATGCTGTCCCACTACAATAAAGACAGCTCCACTGACTCAGACAAGGAGATCATTAAGGTGTGTGACTGCACACTCTCTCACTCACACACACACACACACACACAAGTGAGATTGTAGAATTCAGTTCTTTAACGTCCAAGGACAGACCTGAAATAGTTCCCTAAAAAAAAAGGAACAACACATTCACTGGATGTAGGAATATTTGGGAAGAAATTCCCAATGAGACATTATCCGCCCAGTTCACGCTTCACTTCAGTATTTGATGAGAATTTTTTGTTTAAATCCATGCAACAACAATAAAGCATTGTGAATACAGCAACAATTGGAATGATAATGAGTTGTCTTTTTGTTTAATAACAGGTACATGAATTATAACTAGAATGGCTGCCAGAGTGAAAAGCAAACTCTCATCATCTGAGAAGTTGAACTGGCACGAGTCATTTAATCTCTTTTCTCTTCAGTGTTCTTTGCGATAATAGTCAAAGGCAGTCAGTATAATATACAACCGTTACTCTAGGTGATAACTAAACATTCCACGTTTTGAAATTCAAAATTGTTAGTCATCTGCTCTTGCATTTTTTTTTTTTTTTGACTGAAGGATCCAGCTTCCGACCATACACTGCAGTTTTAATTGAGCTAGCCATACCCAACAGCATATAAGGTTTACATTTTTCAAGTCCAAAAAAGAGCCACTTTGTCCCTGTTCTTTGTCTCCTGCGCATGTATTATAATTCCCCCCAGACTCACAAGATCTGAGTAAAATTTGAGTAAATGTAATTCAAAAGGTCCTCACTGTCTATAGGGCAGTTAATGTTCTGTATTTGCCTGAAAATCTTATAATGCGACCATGTGGTTTAGTAATTTAATAGTGTTACATACAATAGTGTTAATTTAACAAAATCATGTAAAGTTATCTTATATGTTTGCATTGTGATATTTTCGTCAATAAACAAACTAGTGAAACTACAGCTGGTGTCACAGCTGCATTTACACTGTAAAGCGCCTCCTTTGTATTTGCCCTCAGGAACTCTACGAGCGATGTGACAAGCTGAGGCGGGCTGCTTTCAAAATGGCCACTGAGACAGAGGACAATGACACCAGTTTAGGTTTGCTAGTTTGGTGTTTTCTCTCTCTGAAGAAGCCCTGTCTTCACGTTTCGCTGTGTGTCACTGTGTGTAACCGATGAACCCCCTGCATTTGACTCCTCAGGTGACATCTTGCAGGCCAGCGATGACCTCTCAAGAGTCATCAGCTCCTATAAGAAGATAGTTGAGGGGCAGCAGATCAATGGTGACAGTGAAGAGCCTCGATCTACAGCTGGTCACAGCGATAGCGGTGAGATATTTTATACTCATGCACGTTTATGCGTTTTACACAACAACAACAAAAAAAATGCGATTGCTTTACACTCCAGATGCCCTGCCTCTGTGTGATTAATTCAACTGCTGCAATCAATCTTCCTCTCTTTGTCGCTCACCAGACACCACAGATACGCTGATCGACCTCGCCGGCCTTGACACTCCTAGCCCCCCTCAACCGGCCATCCCTCCCTCCCAGTCCTCACACCCTGTCTCCACCAATCCCACGGCTTCCCCCATACCTGTCCTGCCTCCTCCTCCCAAGCGCCTGGCCGGCTCGCAGGGCAGTCAGAACAGCAGCCCGAGTCATCCCCCCCTCGACAAGGCCTCCACTGCTCTCTCGCTCCTTGATGATGAGCTGCTGTCCCTAGGTAGTAATTTGTTTAAGCAGTGCTTTCCCTCAGTTTCACAGCCGATGGCATATAACCCTGCTGTAAAATGGCAAATTGTTATTACAGTCCAGTTTTTGCACTAATTGAATAAACAACATATAATGTCTTAATTAGTGCGCTTTAACAGTGCTGTGCTGATTTTGTTGATCTTCAGACAGAGCTGGGCTAGCTGTTTCCAGTCTTTGTGCTAAGCTAAGCTCACCATTTTCCTGAGTGGTATCAACCCTCTCATCTAACTGTCTGCCAGGAAGCAAATAAGCGTATTTCTCCAAATGTCAAAATATTTCTTTAATTTAGCAGTCTCCATGATATGGAGAGAACCTGTACTCTGAAACAATCTTTGAATACTTGAGTACTGCTTGTCCAAAACTGTCTTTTTTGATGATACAAATGCTTCTTTCAGGACTAAATGACCCACCTACCTCTCTGAGCAGCCAATCAAAACCCAAGTTGAATGAAGTGTCCAATCAGTGGACTTCCTTGCAGGTACATTTGAAATAGTTTGTGAGCAACATTAGCCAAACCATCCTCTGCTAGTCATTGTGTAATGAGAGAGCTAAATTATGTTCCTCTCATCTCCTCTGTAGGCTCCAGCATCAAGTGTGGATATGTTTGGCAGTATGAGTATGGCTTATTCAGGTCCAGTGGTGCCCCCAGTGGAGCCAGCCGCCGGCATACACAGTCTCCAAAACCTGCAAGACCTGGCCATGATGGGCTTTTCAGATCACAAGAGGTACATACTGTTTAGTTGAAAATCTGTACTTTTCATCAGTATATCGCCATTGAATTTTCTCTTGTCATTCCTCTTATGTACACATTTTATTATGCTTCTCATACTTGACTAATCTAATCTGATTATTTCTCAAAATTAGTACTTTAAGGTACTCATAACAATTGAAAATGTGATTTTCAGTTTGTCCGGCCAGATGACGGCCAGAGGAGGCAGCTTTGGGATAACCCCTGCAGCAGCACCTCCCCTTATAACTGGGCAGGGCTCTCCCTCCTCAGCCTCTCTTCTCCAGGGTACAATGCCCAGCTCTCCTGCCCTTTCCCATGCTAAGGTCCAGAGCCTGGGCTCGGCCCCGGGCAGCCCGCTGTTCCGCTCTCTGTCCCCCTGCCACCCTCCCCTCCAGGGCAGCCCGGCTAGAGCCACAGACATCTCCCTGAGCAATGTGCACGTCCCTCTGGAGGCCATCAGACCTAGTAAGGACAGGGGGGGAGAGAGGGAGCAAAGGATGAACTGGTTATTGGAATAACATATGATAAAAACAAAATTACATGTATGGGTGTAGTCTCTTTGGATAGCTCATGTCTGCCTGTTCCTGACTGGCTGCGCCCTGTCTGTACTCAGGTAAAGTGCTGCCTGTGACGGCCTACGATAAGGATGGTGTTCGCGTGCTGCTCAACTTTGCATCTGACTGTCCCCCCAGCAGGCCTGATGTGCTTGTAATGGTGGTGTCCATGCTCAATACAGCGCCCCTGCCTGTTCACAATGTGGTACTGCAAGCTGCTGTGCCCAAGGTAGAGATGTCGCGGTCACTCACCTGCTAAAGGTTTTATTAGGTTTTTCCTCAAACAGTGGACGTGCTCGATCAACATGACTTAATCCACGTTGTACACAAATGCTTTCACGCCATTTTCCAAACAGCCCAAACACCTATGTATCCACATTATCAATAAAATATTTTGCATTTTAAATAACATATTTTAACTGATAAAAACTTGTAATGGTAACAAAGCAGGGTGCCCTGATGGCCTAGGTTCAAGTACTGCCTGTGATTCTTGTTGCATGTTGTGCCCCTTCTCTCTCCATTGACTGTCAACTCTCTGCTGTCAACTTATTAAAGGGTAGGTTTGCATTTTTTCAAGTCTGTCTTGAAACTATATTCACATGCCAATATGTACACTGAAATATTAATTGGGTTCCGTAATCATTCCTCCTCTCTATATTGGCTGTGAAGAGATCGTTTCTAACAGGACTTCAGTGTAAAAGATAGGAGACAAAATCAACAGTCCTTATTCTGTGTAAAAACATCTTCTTAAACTCAGACACAGCTGGTGCCAGGCTTCACCGATGTGGTTCATTTAAATCCTTGTCCGCTGTCTGTGGAAACAATGAAATGATGAAAAAATGTGAACCTGTCCCTTAATACAGGCATTAAAAATCCAGCACTGACACTTCCTTTCATTCTCCCCCAGTCAATGAAGGTGAAGCTGCAGCCTCCATCAGGAACAGATCTGGCACCATTCAACCCCATCCTACCTCCAGCCTCCATTACCCAGATCATGTTGCTAGCTAATCCAGCCAAGGTAGGTGATATCATAGCACTTCAGGACCTAGCAATACACAAAACACAAAGAGCTTCTGAGCCACACAACTGTCAGTTGCGGTGGTAGTCAGGCCCTGAAAAGTTGTGGAGAGACAGTAATAACGCATAGAGATCTGCGTGTCTGTGTGTCTTCATAGGAGAAAGTGCGTCTGCGCTACAAGCTGGCTTTCACACTAGGAGACCGTCTGTGCAACGAGGTTGGAGAGGTCGACCAGTTCCCCCCACCAGAGGCATGGGGTCATCTATAGCAGCGTGCAGGCCTGCTACCGTTCAGCAGGGACAGACCGGTTCATACTCCATGAAGGGGTGTGTATGTGCGTTCACATGCATCCCAGAGAGAGAAAGGAGGGGAAGGTGGGGAAATTCAGCTGCATTGTTACTGTAACAATAACTTTCAGCTTCACATTCCTGACAGTTGTTTTTCATTTTCTGGCCATTATGATTCCTGGTAGTGAGATGTTAACAACAGACACTAAAGGTTTAACTTATACAGAGCTTGTGCTTTTCTGCAGACAGCTAACAAAGAAAAGATATACACAGGTATGGGAGATAACCATTGTGTTAACAGGTCAGTGGTTTTGAGATTAATATTGTGATGGATTTTCCCGAATGTACTTTAGATAATAAATGCATTAGAGCTCTGCCTAAGATTGAAATGCTGCACTGCAGCAGGAAATTAACCTGTACTTTAACAGAGCCTAGAGACAATGGTTGTGCTTCTGTTTATTCATTTTTTTATTTAGCCTCTGAATCAACACTTACCCAGCCTGCAAAAATATACTTGAATATATCCAGAGATTTGGAAATGGTATCTAGATTTCTTAGGATGGAGTTACACTGGAAAATTCATGCGTTGATTAAAAAGTACTGTCACATAATCATTCCTGCAGGAAGACAGTGGCCTGATTAATGTATTTATTACATGATTATTTTAGCCATCTGGATTTTTGACATGGTAAAGGAAACTGTGTTTAACAATTATATTAGCTAATGTAGCCCTGAGCTAGATGAGTGGACCAACAATGTTGAATACTGAGCTGTAAAGGCAAAGTAAGGCAACCAACATATATATTTCATTTCATTTTGTTTTCATCATGAATACTGTATGAATTCAGTATGAAGTCGTCTGAATCCACCACTGGTTTTATTTCACGATTAGTTTTTTGTTTTGACTGTAAATTAAATAGTGATATGCCCAGACTGTCAGCATTTCAGTTTTTTGTTTTAGCAGTGGATATCCATATTTTTGTTCTGTATTTAAAGATGTTTATTTGTCTACCAGTTTCAGTATTGGGAGTATTTTTGTCATATTTATTATTTTGTGTTATAGTATTTCAGTGCATCACTGAACCTAGAAAATGTGAACTGAAAAACCTGAATTTAAATTTGGTAGTTTGTAAGAGAAATCCGTCACCAGGCAGATAACTCTTCAGTGTGCAGCAGTGGAATGTGGAGTGGAACTTTGCTATGAGGAAATTTTCATACATCAGTCCACCCGATCCTCTCTTAGGTCCCCTCTCTGGCAGCCTCAGCTTATCATCATATAGGATGTACAGAAGTGTGTGTTTAATGTACATAGTATGTAATGTAATGTACCTACCGTTTGTTGTATGACAAGTTATGTGAACATGTGATGTGTAGTTTTTGGGAGAGTGTTAGGTCTGTACATACTGTATGATGTGCCATTTGTTCGCTGCATGAAAAAAATAAATATTTCTTTGAATGGATGTCTGATATTCTCGAGTTATTTAACTTGTCATATACATGATTACTAAAAATTCAGGTTTCAAAACAATGTACATCAAGTTTTATTATCAAAGAGCACATTTTGATTACTTGAATTTTATATACAATACAAAAATGCAAAAGAAGAGCTTTCTTTTTAATGTCTCCATTTATGTTTCCACTGTTCCCTCTTTGACTATAGCCATAGCCAGGTTCCTGGCCAGAGCAAGTCGCAGGAGCTCCACTTTGGTCAGCTCTATGTCTTCCTCCTGAAAAGACAAACACACTTGAATCAGAGGTAGAGTGGATTGTAAGTCTTTAATATTGCAGCAAATCCTTCTATTGCAGCTGTAGAGTAAGAGCAACACTTCACAGGACCAGTTTTGGCTCTGTGTGTTATAAGCCAAGCAATGTATTAGGGGTATTAGGGAAAGTAAGCATTAATAACTTCTAGTATATATATATATAGTAGGCAGGATTTTTAAAATGTAAACAAGAGAATCAAATATTAAGCAAACAGTGAACAGCATCAGAGTAACACCATCATTTGAGCAGTATTAGTGCCGTGTGAGAGATGCATACCTGCATGGGCCTGTCTGTGCCGGGAGCTGTGGTGTTCAGTGAGGAGGTGAGCTCCTCTAAACAGAACATAAGCTCGTGGGTTTGGTCCGCTGAGAAGATCACCTTCAAAAAAGACAAACAAAGCCATCTTCTAATTTAATCAGACCACAGACTGACCTTTTCTTTTTAGCAAGCACTGCAGTTCTTCTTTTGCTCCTGCTTCCTGTGTCCCCCATATCTAACATAATAATGTGGACTGCTGAGTCTGTCGTGTGTTCAAATCTGCACCATGACAATAGGTGACACCGTAGTTTGTTTCTGTTTGGGACAACATGAATGACATTGTGCAGATCACAACTCAGACCACAAAAAAGAGTATGTCCCACCCAAAGATTTAGTCTTGACTTGTGACTTAAACCACATGATCATAATAAGACATGTTTATTAACCGGTCACGGACATGCACCGCAGGAAAGGGAGTAATGCACAAAATTCTCTTGACACTATAAAACAATTCCCTGACAGGAATGTGCACAAATCAACAGATAAATTGATGAAGTAGCTGTAAATCAGCTGCTGCAGAGGACAGTTTTACATCACATTAAAACTATATGCAGTTTTATTTGGAGCCAATGACTAAGCAGAATCAATTACGCAGCTGAAATCTCATCACACTGGAAAAAAGTTTTCATCACCGTCTGATATCAAGTTTTTATTCTTGATGTGGACTTGATGTCTGTCCTGTACGTCAGGACTAGAATTTAGTGCAATTTATTATAAAGCTGCAACAATTATTGATTAATTAATTATTAGAGTGACAGAAAATGAATCAGCCATTATTTTGATATAATCAATTTTTGTGTCTTAATAAAATAGCTTATCTTCACTACACATTATTATTCTGTCTAAAGAAATTACAAAAGGTCATTAATTTACATTGGTTATACTGTACATCTATATTATGATTAGAATGACAACAATTTTGTCCACATCCACAGTGTACTGAACACTTTGTGGTGACTGACCTCTTTCTGCTCCAGCAGCGGCAGAGCGTCAGTCAGCAGAGTCATCCAGAAGCTCCGGGGGGCGATCTTGGCCGTCATGAGGGAGAGGAGCAGCTTAGCTGCCTCCCTGAAGCGCTTCTCCCCGTACAACTTGTGGAACTCACGGTACTTTCCTGGAAATGAAAGAAGTTTTCAGATTGTAACACTGGCCCTTGTTCACAGTTTCTGATCACTAGCAAGCTCATGCTGATGCAGGTGTAATCACACAGTGTAAAAATGCTGTTTGACAACTTTGTATTGCGTTACGTCTCATCTGTGTGTATTGTTCTCACTCTTATTTACAATTAATCTGCTTTTACTTAACTGTTTTTTTTTATCTTTGCTCTTCCTGCAGTGCTTTAGACATCAGAGACTTTGTGAATGTGCTTTTTTCAGCAATGAAACTAACAGAGTTGACAATATGTAATAATCGATAGAAAAGCCATTTCTTTGAATGTACTGTACTTGAATCTAAATTTAGAAGGTTTTTTTTAAATGGTTCATCTCTTCTCACTGATATTCCTCCAGTAAAACCAACTGTCACATGCTGTTGCGTTAAGCTGAATTTGTATCTATGTGCGTATACACGTCTGTATGTCTGAGTATCATGTGACAGCCTAAGAGAGAGTATAAGGGAAGTGGTCCAAGGCATAATCTGCCTTTACTGAATGTGCTATAACTTGACGTATGAATCCAACTTGTGAGTGCGCTGCAGTGGCTGTGTCACACGTGGAGCAGTGCTACCAATGCTGCTGTGTGTGTGTGTGTGTGTGTGTGTGTGTCTTGTCCATACCAAGGAAAGTGAGCCTGTCGCTGAGCAGCATTGCTGGGCCCAAGTTGTCTATCAGGTCAAGATCAGAGAAGGTCCCTTTAGCACAGTAATCCTGCAAGAACCTGACACAGACACACACACAGACACACACACACATTAAAAACCAGTTGGAAAGGGGCAACATCACAACAAAGTGCTTGAAGAATAAGTGTGTTGTTAAGGGAACTAACCTCTCTGAAATGAGGGTGGCAAAGGCAGCATCTTTGGCCCTGATGCTCCAGGACAGAGCAGAGCCCAGTCTGTTGTTCCTTAGAGCCCGCATAGCCATGATCTTACAGATACTGCGCACTGAATAAAGACAAAAACTTGAAGGGTTAAGTCTCTACTGCACTTGAGAAACAGCTGCCTTTATCTTTGTGCAATACAGCTGGACAGAGAATGCGACAGAGACAGAATTAAATGCTACCTTGTTCTGACATTTGTCTCTGCTCACAGATCCTGAGCACCTTGAGGGCTTTGCGCTCTGTGTCTAAAGGAACACGCTCAATCTGCAGCTCCAGGTAGACACGGCCAAACTCTGGGCAGTGGTCAAAGTAGTCCACAGCCAACTGCCACAGACTTAACACAAAGACACACAAAAACATCATATAGGCAGTTATAATATCATGATGCTGCTGGCCCATGTTTCAACTCTGCTGATGCTATCTAAGGCGCTGAACTGATGAGTTGACTGATTAATCAGAAAAACATAACTTGTGAAAAATAATCAGAATTTGCAGCTGTTTTTCATACTTTTGAAAGCGAAACCTTTAAAAAAGGAGCAAAGTATTTGAATACACTAATTAGTAGAATTTCCATACCATAAATATAAATATCATACTGAACCTTAGATAACCATACCTGTGATGAGTGAAGAGACCAGATGCATATTCTAACAGGAGAAACTCCCTCAGGTTGGAGCCGAAGCTGAACACACAGCAGAAAGATATGGTAAATCTTAGCTGATTAAAGTGTATTCAAGTAGAAATGCAGCCAAACAGAGTGCTTACTGTAGGTTGTGAGACTGCAGGAGTTTGCAGTGATCCAAGAGATCTGTCAAATGGGCCACAAACCACCAGTTGTTGAGAGCAATGCTGAAAGAAGAGAGAATGGAGAAATTAGGAAATAGTGTGTTGAAGGGGTTAAACATCATAGACTGTTGGGATAAACAGGTACAGTTGTATGCAAAAGTTTGGGCTAAGTCATTTTTTTTATTATTTTGAAAGGAAGGTTAATACAAACCCTGCAGCAAACACACAAAAAAATAAGCCTTTCTTCAATTGTCAATGCACTATTACTCACTTGACTTATTTCCTGAATTTAAAAAATATGAAAAATGTTTGTGCACCCTACTAAATCCTATGTCCTACCTGCAGTCTTTGATGACCTGATGAATGTCAAACTCAAAGGCAGCCAGTAAGATGCTGTCCAGTGGCTCTGGGACGCTCCTCGAGTCCAGAAACATGGTCATGCATGACTGCAGCATACACACACAAACACATTAACACAGAGTAAATAACAAGGACACAAGCAGAAGAGAGTATGAATGTTGAGTGATGCAGCAGGAGTTCGTGTAGTGTACCTGTGCATAGTAATGTAACTCAGTGGGTTTGACTGTGGGGTGGCAGAACAGCAGTCTAGTAACCAGGAAGTGGTACCAGGTGCTCAGCAATTCCTTGTGATCAAGCAACGTGTCTTCATCCCCCACTAGGATCTGAGATTTAACAACAAGAACAGATAGGAAGAGATTAATGTGGTGTTCGAATAATAGTTTAAGATTTAAAATCTCTGAAATCACAATAAAATGCAAATAAATGCATAAGAATATATTTTGGAAGAATAGGTTGCCAGACCTATGGATAACTTAGACAGCAGCATGGTATATTGCAATGCGTTAGACAATGGGACCTCTCATTGCATGCACAGTTTACTACAGACATTATTTTACAAACACTCAGTTGCCAGTCTATTAGGTACACCTAGCTAAAACGAATGCTGTTTAATACAGCAGTCCTGCAATGCATCCTCCCTTCATGAAGGTTATAATGTTCAGGTTTTGTTCGAACTGTTTTACAGAGGCGTTGATCTAACTTTATGATCACTTTGGAGACAACAGTTTGTGGTGAAGTACACATATAAGACGTCAATGGACAACAGGAAGGGCTACGGAGGCCGCAGGGTCACTGACCTTGCAGATGAGCTCCAGGTGTTGGTTGCTGGCAAACGAGTTGTCCTGTAGGCAGCGGTCCACCTCCTCGTGCCAGTGTCTCCACTTTACATCAAACTCTGTTAACGTCTGGGTGCCACCAGGCTGAGGGATTATCATCATAGAAAGTTTAGAGGTGAAAACTGCCCCAGGCTGGTTTATGAGCTATGTTTGTGTGATATCTCTCTTTTGGGGCGTGTGATATCTTCAAGTAAACTGCCATTCTTTCACACCACCATCAAAGGCATCTCAATATAGCCAATACAGATGATTTACAATAATATATATCAGCTTTGTACATCCCCGACTCTGTGGTCATTTTTAAGGCTGTAGTTGGAGGTGAAATTCTGCTGAATTGGATTATATTTTAAGCCGTTACTTAAGTCAGCACTGATTAGCCAAGTAAATTCTATGATGCACCTTTCCGTCTTGGCAAATAAAACATAACGTATGCAATAATTCTGGTTGTCACGAGTATGAAATGAAATTGAATAACGTTCAACCAAAGCAGTCTAAAGCTGCACAATAAAATAAACCATTAAAAAATGATCTTACATTGTAGAAGGGCATTTTGCTGAGCAGAGTGTCCATCAGTTTGTACATATTTCTGGCAGCAGGCTGTAGGGGGGCCTGCTTCATCAGCATCTGTCTGGCTTCTTCCAACCTGCCTTGCAGCACATAACTCACCACCTGCACATGGCCGACACAACACATGTAATAACTATGATTTCACTCTGTGCTCTATGACAGACAAAATACCAATGAGGAGGGAAATGTGTGTCTGTCTGATGGTCCTTGGAAAGGGAACATCTCTGCTCAAAATCATCACCACACCTTGCACTATTCATTAAAAGGCAGAACTTGGTGTGTGTGTGTATACCAAGTTTTAAAGACATTAATATGTGCATGTGCTGCACCTACCACATCCCAGTAGTCGTGGTGCTCAGCAGGGCTCTCGCTTTGCAGCACCTCTCTGGCCTTCTCATCCACATCAGCCTTGTGTAACCTTACCCAGTCCAGAAGGTGGAGCAACAGTGAACCCGCTGAGGACACAGACAGATACACACTGCTGATTTATTTGTTTGGGTGCTTTCATAATCTCAAAGTGAAGTAATAAAATGTATTCCAAAAAGAAAGAGGGGAGATTAACTATAAACACAAGGTCAAACTCTAACCAGGAGCAGCGTCAATGAACAGCACTTCACACAGATTCCAGATCAGCTCTATGGCCAACAGAATGGAAACCTGTGACAAAACAAAACAGAGGCTGAGGTTAACACAGTGTCACTATAGAAAAATGAATCCAAAAGTTGAAAAAAAATGTATATGTATTCCTATTCATTACCATTAGCACCTTAGTATAAAGAGTCCCTTTACTTACTATGACGTGTAAGTGTCTTCAATTTAAAAATAGAATATTCTTTAGTGGTATACCACAGGATTGTGTCTTACTAAATTGCAACAATACCATTCAGCTAAAAAATGATAATATTAATGTTAATATTGAATTATTGCCTTACTATTCTCAATACACATATGTTATCCTGTATGTGAATTCAAAAGTGAATGTAATGTCTATATACACAAAATATAGCACATACCTGATTTCCATACTGCATGGCCACTTGTGCATCTTTGGTAGAAACTGCAGCAGACAAAAAGGTCCATTTGACTTTCCCCAAGAAATCGCACTGAGGCTAAAATGTCCAAACTATAATTTGCCATTTAAGTCATTTTAGTTTTGACATTTTAAATTCTAACCTGCAACTTGCTGAAGTTCTTCCATACAAGCTCGTATCACAGATCTGTAGTTTTTACTGATGCTGACAAATCTAAGAGGTAAGACGGAGACAAGTTTGGCAAATCATGAAATCAATCATTTATCATTTTATAATTATATATGTATGTGCTTGATTTTCCTTTTGTAACTAGGATTTATGTCACCAGGAACCAATATCGTGACATGCAAAGGATGAGAAGACTTACTGTGGTTTTTTGTTCTTGCTGGGAAGGTCTTCTCTGATCGTTTGCAGGCCAACAAAGATGTGATGCGACTCATTGAAGAGCTTGCGTAAAATAGGGGAATATATATCCTCGTCTTTCCTAACCTCATGGATGAAGGAGCAACCTGACCCTTTAGCACCTGAAAACACAGGGCGAAGGACGCAAGAAAGTTAGTAAAAATAAGGTAAAAGAGAGGGCAAGAATGTGAGAAGGAGCTTGTGTTACTGTCAACACACACCTGATGCTTTGTAAAGGGTCTCATACGCAAGGATATCACCAGGACCCCACGCAAATCCCAAATGCTTCCCATCACTGGCTGCAGGAATATTCTGCATTTAAAGAGAGACGTGGTCATTACACTGCAATTATTTAGTGAAACAGGTGATGTAAATATTCCATTTTCCCATGACTGATCGCAACTCGTAGCTTTCACATTCATTTTTTTCTGTAGTCAAGCCAAATTCTCAACTTATTACTAAATGTACTTAAACTCCTGTCTTGTAACAAGTCCTCTAGCACTGAATCTATTACGCTCTTAGGTTTCACCTATGTGAATACATGTGTATCTTTCAGATTATTCTTAATGTTTTTGACACACGTTGTGTCCGTGTTTGTTCAACTTAGATTAGTTGACAGGCTTTTGCGATGTAGTTAGCTTCTTAGCAATGCTAGTCAGTGGCAATAAAGAGAGAGAAGTAAGCTATAGCGGTTACTCACAGTGATTGCCGGCTCGACGTCTACCTCCTCCATCAGGGAACAATGTTTCAAACACAATAAAGTATAAAAATGCCTGACTTTTCAGCTATAAACACCTCATGCCATGAACTACAGGTGCGTTGCTGCTTACGCGCCTCAGTCATTCAGCCGATAGTCCTAACGGCGCGTGTGTGATGACGACACTACAGGGCTGCCCTATTTCCTGCCTGTACTTCTGTCTGCTGCTTTTGCCCATTTGCCTCATGGTGTGGTAAAGTTTCCACTCGATATACAGCTAGATAACTAAAAATTGCATGATCTGTAAATATAATCAATCACTCAATCATAATCAATCACCTCGAAGCTCTGGGGAACCAGGTTTACTTACAAAAGGGAAGTAATGAATATGTGGAGTTTTTCTGTTATCCAAATGCAAACACATACAAATGTTTTAACTGGAATCTGTTAAGAATCAGTGTTATGCAAATACACACTTTCTTTAAGTATTCGTGTAATATAATTTTAGTGCATCTTCATTATCAGACAGAAAAAACAAGATGGCCGCTAGGATTTATAGGGTTAGAAAAAAAGAAAGAAGGAAAAAGGAAGAAAAGAAATGGAAAACAAAGTGCACATACTACATTCCCAGTAATTGTAATCAATTGTATGGCGATGGTGGCTGAGTCGCCTGGCATTAATGAGAGGTCAGCTGTGCGGTCAGGTGCATGTTGTGGGATACAGCCCCTCTAAAGCTGACAACAAAAAGCAAAACATCGCTGTGCGCGTTCATGTGATGCTGATCGTGCCTCTTTAACGCGCATGGAGACTCTCCCGCCCATGCACAGGCTGCGCTTTCAACCTCGTGACTACCTGCAGCCATTCAGTGATCAATGCAGTGGACGCGCAATGACGCGTGGCCGCGCACGTTCGGTTCGAAAAACTTAAACGTGGACGAGTACGTGCGCGTACTCGTATTCTTTGTGTGGCAGCGTAGAGAAGCGCCAAAAGAGTGACCATGGCTGATGAAAAACCAAAGGTGAGTGTTTCCATATTGTGTCAAAATACCACTTTTTTTCACTGGATCTGTGGCACATGGGCTCATAGAAAAAAACATCTCCACGTCTTCTGTTTTACCTTGTTAAAGTTGAGAGCTCAAATTCAACTACTAGCTATCCCTACTTTGATAGACCGGAAGGTTTGTGAACGCGCATCCACAGGCGCGCAGATCGCTTTTTGCTTTATCACACAGTCAGCCAGCTGGTGTCATCCTCAGTGCATACCCCCATTTACCAACGTGTGTGTCTGTTGTTTTGGGCAAGTTGGAGGAAGTTTGTGCACTCAGCAGCGATATACCTGTAAGGACTGCTAGTTGCCTCTAAAACTGCAGTGTTTTCTTTTTATCTTGATTCTCTATTTGCTTGTCAGGCTGTGGCTTGTACTGATTTGATCTTGCAGACGCCGAAACAGAATGTAAACAAAGGGAAAATGTGCTCCATGAAAGTTTTTAAACTTTACTAAAATACATTTTCTGGAAATCCATTTTAGAAATTGTTTACTTAAGCACAACCACGTGGTGATGTCTTTTTGCGGAATGCCGTGAATTAATTATTTCATATTTAACATGCATCATGTTGATGCAAAAATATCTGCAGCATTGTCATCATGGCTTATTAGTAAACCAGAGGTACTAAAGAAACTAAACTATATACACTCAGCTAAGCCTAATATACAGTATTATGCCACAGCCCTGCATTAAATCATCTGTTCAGCAAGGTTTCAATGTTCAAAACTGTTAAAACTGTGTTAAAGAGGTGTTGATTCCTCAGTTTGATCATTTTTGAGGATGTAGTCTGTGGTGCTGTTATACTACAATGCGTTACGTTGACAGGTGTTCCTATTATTTTGTCCACCTCATTTAAATCAATGAGGGTAGGCTAAATAACAGAAACAACTCTCTGTATAATGCATTACAGTTCAATAGCACCACACCCGGCATAGACTTGATAGATTTAATCTATGAAATGTTAATAATAATAGTTGTTTATCATGAGTCACAAGAGCCCAAACTGATTGGTTAATATGAAAAGTGAAAGTGTTTGGTTTATAATAACAGAGAAACATTAAGTTCTTCATGTCTGTTAAGTTGTCATCAGTGTGCTATTTTTGTTTGATAAAACTGACTAAAATCAGAGATTGCAGATCATTTTTTTGTTGATCAACTAATGAATCAGTATTCCAGCTCAGGTTCCTTGCACATCTGTGTCAACTGTGCTTTTTTCTGCCTCTGTCCTTCAGGAAGCAGTCAAGACAGAAAACAACGAACATATAAACCTGAAGGTAGCAGGTCAGGATGGATCTGTAGTGCAATTCAAGATCAAAAGACACACGCCACTCATCAAACTCATGAAGGCCTACTGCGAGAGACAGGTGGGCATGGCACAATATCAGCGTGCAGGAGCCATCACTGATTGACTGTGAACATTCAGGATGATGTTCCAGGTTCATTTCCTAAACCAGTGATTCCCAGGCTGGGGGGTGCAGAGCTATTCCACAGGATGCGCTAAAGCTGCATAGACCTTTTTTACAGCAGACATATTGACTTGTTAAACACAGTTCTAACAAATAAAACAATTGTTGTGATATTTAGTTTAGTTCCCTAAGTAAAATGTTAACAAAGACAAAGAAGAAAGCTTATTATAGAAGTAAAATATCTCCCAGTCCCCTTTTCATTTGTTATTAATCTGTTTATCAGTAATGTTTCATGGGGAGTGTATCAACCACCACTGAAACTGAAGTGGAACATGCAGTGGTTTGTTGTGGGTAGAAAACTGTTGGAATTTCACTGAATTTGCCTTAAATGGAGTTGGGGTAGTTTTGAGTTTGTACTGTTTAGATAAGAACTGTTTCCTTTAGCTTTTTAATCCTTTTGGAGTGGATGAAAGGATGTAGCACCTCCACTATCAAACACATCTACTTCATGTAATACACCCACTCACTTATAGGATTTTATGAGCAACATGTTGAGTAAGCGTTCGGGTTAGGACACCTAAAGTCCGTCTTATAAATTTATAACAAAAATCCTGCCATCCTTATAATTTGCCTTTTTCACAGTATGCTATTGATTTGTCAAAAAAGCATAGGTGTAACTTTTAACATTCAAGTGTGCCAATGAGCCAGCATGCATATTTCTGGGGCCCTGGAACTGGTACATCTGACTGTAATGCAGCGACTATTAAAGGTCTTATTAACACAAACTTTTTCCTGCTATGTCAAAATGTCTGCCATTTAAAAGGCCTATCAGAGTGGAATATATTTAGCATAGCAGAGATCTTGTACGCCTAAATATTTATTAAAGAACAACATTTACTCGAGTAGTCTCCTTCCAACTGCGGAGCAAGGCTTAAGAGCTGTGTTGCTATGTTATGCCGTATTTACATCATATGGAAATAATTATTGGTATTACCTGATGGTTCAGAGCAACAACTTTGAAGTATGGACATTTTTAATCTTGTTTGAGGACAAAAAAAAAGGTTATAAAAGCAGTAATTTTCAGCCTTTTCACACTCAAGCATGCACTCAGTAACTGGTAATTGGTGCTTTTGGTTTACAGTGTAAAGTTAACCTCGAGCAAACAAGTGGTTTTATTACCATATACCACTTACCATATAAATTACCTGGTCAAAATCTGTTAACTGGTTTTTATTTGACATGAATCTTCAGTTGACAGCAGATATTTACTAAATGTTAGAGCTCACAGATCAATATGCTGCACATGTCAAGATCTACCTGAGTCCCTTATACTGAAGTTGTATCCAACAGTCTCAAAACATACAAAAACATAGTGGTATGGTAAAAGGCCAAACCTAAAATAAAAGCCAGATGATGTTCATTTAAAAGTTATTCATCACGGCCATGTTTTCAGTCATTTTTTCCTGAAAGAATTATTGTTTATTGTTTACTGGCTATGATCCAGCTGTGCTCTACAGGTCTTCTCTTCCTGCTTGAGGGTCAATGCAAATCTTACCTCAACAGCCGAACACAGCTTAGGCCATACCCCTCTCTCATCCTAAACCAGACCACCTTATCTTTTCCATCAGCATTTGTGATCTAAATCAGATGAAGTTGTCCTTTGTCTACTTGCTTTAATTGGATGCAGGAATGTTGACTTCTTATGACTTATGCCTATGAATTCTAATGAATTAACATTGGGATGAGTGCCAGTTCAGTTCTTAAAATTGCGCTGTAATCTTGATTGCAACTGTGATGACGCATGGCTACACAAACAACCCTAAGGTTAGACAAGAACTTTTACATTCTGAAATATCTATCCCTAAAAGTTAAAAAAAAATATCCAGTGAAGCACAGTCTTTAACATTCCTCTTTATTTGAAAGTCAAATGAGGGTTCAACTCTCTGGAAGACTGAAAATCCAATCCCGATATTGTGTATTCCTTGGACTGCCGGGAGGGCAAAAGAGATGTGTGTCATGCAGCTCATTTTTAAAAAGACAGTGAAAACCAGATGTTTTTCATTAATCCTTCATTTGTGTTTCACTGCAAGAGACAAAAACTTAGAATGTTTCAATAACCCTCATATTTCAGCAGACATACTTTAAACAAGGCAATATATGCTTTGAAGTAGTCTACTGCATATTCTATTCTTGGCTTTTAGTTGTAGTAGTTGTTTTAGTAACAGTGTTTACGCCATCCATTGTTGAGACCCACTTAGCTATAGTAAAAGCAAAGACAAAGATCAGTGGTGTTATGCATGTCTCCCACAGTGAATCTCTATTTTTGGTGATAAAATCATTGTTGGTCTGTAAACTTACAGGATTTACACCCATCTTTTCTGTGTAGGAATTTCACATCTGACTTTGAGACAGTATGATATTTTCATTGTAAAATGTGGCTATCAAATGGCAATCACAGCCACTGCCACATGAGAATCTGTACTGAAACTGAAAGCCTTTCCCTTACATTGTTGTTGATTGCTTGCGCTTAAACCTATTGTTTGAATCATTCTTAATTCCCCCTGTTAGGCTGTTAAATGTTTAAAGAACTGCTAAAAGTCCCCTGGTTAGTATGGTGATGAGTTTTTTTCTCAAGACAGATGGGAGGGTTCAGGCTTGGTTTACTATAAAAGTTTTTATATCTTTGTCTCTCTAGGGACTGTCGATGAGGCAAATCAGGTTCAGATTTGATGGACAACCAATAAATGAGACAGACACACCAGCACAGGTAAGTTTGAAGTTTTAAAACAATGAGTGTAGCTACTCAAAACAAGTTACAGCATAGAGGAGTGTGCTTAGAAAATGTACATTCACAGGGCACCCTGTTGCCTGTAAACATATTTAATGCATTTCATCATGCACCATAACTCGTGGTGATGTGTTTGTGCCATCCTTAATCAGTGAGGTATGCATATTTCATGCATTCTATGCCCTTTTATGGGGATGCTTGTCTTGGTGCGCCTTATTTGTGGTATTCCCTTTTTTTTTTTTTCTTGTGGGTAGTGTTAAATACATGTTGAAAATAAAATCATGTGCACACACATACAACTCAATCAGTTCAGTGTCTGACTGAGTCATGCTAAATGTAACTGTAGGACAGACACTCACTGATAGGATTAAACAGTCAGTGCGTTAAAGGAGATCGCCTCCTCAATGACTAGTGTGTCTGATAGGAAATGTAGGCTGAGGGTAAGGACATGTTATCACAGAGAGCCTGCAGATGCCTCAGTCTGTCGGAGAACACCAAACTCAATTGCGTGTCCTCGTACTTGTGTTGAGTATGACACTGCAGAAAGAGGCCAATGTGCTCGCTGTAATTCGGGGTTGAAGTAGACACAACTTGCATGTTCTTGCATATTATTGCAATGCTGTGATCATCAAAGCCTAATACAGCATTTCATTTTGGCTGAAATGGTGCCATTTTCCCAAAGCAAAAGACAAATTTGTGTTTGTATAGATGATACTGTTGTACTTTTGGCACATGCCATATAATTGTAACATCTTGACATGACATGTCTCCCTTTGTCTCTCTACTTTATATAGAATTTCCTCTCAATTTACACCTTTTACTTTTTAAAAGGATTCACAGTGACACACATGGTTAAATAACTTTTTTCTCTCAACAGTTGGAAATGGAAGATGAAGATACAATTGATGTGTTTCAACAACAGACAGGAGGCCTGATTTAATCGACCACACGCGCCACCATTTTCCTCCTCAACACCACCAACCTTCCCAGCCTGTGATACACAGCAGCTGCTTCTTTGCAACTCGTCCTATTGTCTCAACAGAATTCCACTCAGAAGAAGTTGTCTTTTCTCTGCAACACATAACTGCTGTATAGTATTTTCATTCTCGCCCCTGTTACTTTTCTTTTTTTGTACATAAACCACATCGAGATCATCCTGAATTCAGGTTTCGTTTGTTCATGCTGTATTGTGGTAAATGTTAAGGACTTCCCTTCACAGTTTGAAGGGCTTGTTTCCAAGGTTGCAGACAGACAGGACTGATGATAGAGTGAGTGAATTAATAAAGCGGACTTTACTGGTCAAATGTCATTGGGTTTGGCTTGGTCAGTGTCCAGCAATTCTGTTCTTAAAGTGTACTATTTTGGGACTGGCTATCACTTGGTAAACGGTATGTCCCATTTGGGAATGGGGCTGGATTGTCATTTTGTCTGTCCTCTTCAGAAAAATGTTTGATTTTATACATTTTTTATATAGTAGCTGATGTGTAGAGAAATGTTTTGATTAATCATTTGACTAGTCCAAGCTTCAAATTTTGGGAAGCCTGAAGAGATGTGTCAGTTAAATAAACGTCTGTCATGTCTATTAAGATGCCTGTTAAAATAAAGCTATTGTCTTTTTCCAAACTTTCATTATTTTTGTCTGGCTCTCCAGTGTAATTGTCTGACCATCTTCTGGGAAGAAATGCAACCACTATGAAATAAATTTGTAGAACTATGACAGGAGCACAAGTTCAGATAGTCATTTTACTGCTAATTTTTTTGTTAAAGTCCATGTCCATTTTGTTTTGGTTATTGTTGCTTCTCTTGGTTGTTAGAGGTCCCTGAGCACTGTGAAGAATTATGTGCAGTGTGATCACTGCTTAACCCAAAGATATTTTTTTATTGCACCTGTTGAAGGGGAAAAGCTTCTCTGAAAAAAGTTTAAATCCTATCCCAATAGGCAACTTACACCAACAAATGTGATACATATTCATAGATTTTTTTTTAACTGGGCAAGAGGTGTAGATGTCATTTAAAAAAAAATTCTAAGCAGGTAATTGAACTTCTTTATGGAAAAAAAATTGTATCAGACAAGTTATTCAAAGAGTTCTTTATATATCTTCAAACTTGGTTGTAGGGGAGCTTTAAGACTGAAGGCTAGCCCCAAGATTTTGCAGATTGTCATAATTAATGTTGATGGCTTATAGATGGCAGAAAAGGGGCCATGAGGGATCTGGACTCCACAGTCTGATCACTGACGTGCAGCCGAGACCTGCCACCAACAAGAGAGACGAGCTCTGAGGTTCTGTCCAATGAGAGAGGAGTTCTGTGATGTTCTGTCCAATCAGAGCGGGTCGAACGCTGGTGGGCTGGGTCTCGTGGGCTGGCACCGCAGAACCAACGGATCTGGTCGTCGATATGTTTTTCAGTGTCGGGTGGAGTCTACATCCCGTCGCATCTCTGCGGGGAAGGAGTAGGAATTTTTTCAATTAGTTTTTCACTGACTATTTGTTACTGCCAAGCTATCGAAATACTCCTTAAAGATGACGACGACAACCACCTTTCAAGGAATGGACCCTGGTGCTAAAAGCAGTTCCAGGTAAAAGGAGCTGAAAACCTTAGACGAAGGAACAAAAGAAGTGGGATGCGGGCAAGCCTCTCAGCTAGCAAACGCCTCTTTTCTGCTTTTGCTTCAAGGCAGCCTGCTACCTAACATTAGCCCGCTGGTGACTGGCAAGGGATTTTTCTGGATTTAGCTAAACTGTCACATAGTCTTGCTAATTAAGTTAATCTTATTGGGTGACTGATGCGCCATTGCCTTTAGCCACATCAAGTTAGTTTGGTTGGCCTGTCTGAGCTTTGTACAATAATTAGGCATGCGAGTTCAAGAAAGGAAAGAGAGAAACCCAGTGCCGAAGAGATCTTTTCCGTGTATTTTTTGGGAGAAATGGACACAGCTACCTAACGTTAGCCCTCAACTGGCTGTGGCCGACTACAAAATAACTTTTTTTGTAGTTCAAGTCACAGCTCCTCTCCTGCTGTCATTTCTAAATGTGCTGCACGTTTTAGTTGTGAATACTGTTATACCTAATCTGTTAACTCTGGACTTTGTACCATTTTTTCAATACAGGACCAAAGAAACAGATAATGAGCCGAGTCCAAATATGTGATTGATTACAGGAAGAATCCTAGACTAGTCTGGGATCTGCATATGTCATTATCTCTGATATGGTTCATTGTTAGTTAAGGAGAAATGAAGTATAGAGACACTTTGATAATGTCCATTTTGTGGTTTCAATAGATATGTTTAACGCACAATAGTTGTTAAAGCTTCATATTAATGGGGGAAAAAAGACCTTAAGAAGACCACTCATCCTCCAAGCACGCAGTCATAGCTTTCCAGTAAGTGATGTGTCTCGTCTGGATGCATTCCTCCTCCTTTTTCAGTGAAAACAATGCAAAGAAAAATGCCTTTTAAATTATGACAGCCTCAATAATGAGGCATGATTTTAGGGCGTCTGAATCAGGTTTTTAGGCAATACTAGTACTTATAGCCTTTGCTGAGTGAGCATGTCAAATCTCAGTCAGTCATCAAGCGTTTTGAAGTCGCATGCTGTTTTCGGATGATGCCGGGGCCTGGGTGGGGGCTTTCAGCTAGCTAAGCCTGTAAATCTTTCCTTAGCTCTTTGCTTTTGCTTCTTAAACCCCCTTGTACGAGCTGCTGGTCATTTCTGCTGCTGGCTGACCAAAAGGATCCGTAGAGCAGCAACTTAAACAGAATTAGGCTAAAATCTTAGTAGGCCATCAAAAGCCTCCTACCCTGCCTTATCAGACATGCCATCTTCGGCTTTGGAGCTCAGCTCTATCTGCCCTAGCTCCACCTGCCTGAAGCTGTCCTTCAGCTTCTAAACATTAATGCCATTTCATTGATATTATTTGCAGTTTCATTCTAGGGTGGGGTCTGCTGCCAGGCAGCTAAAAGCTTTTTCTCCCGTCGCAATCCGTGTGGAAAGCATGAGCTCATCCTCTCTGGCCGGGAGGTGAAGTCTGGTTTAAGCATTACTGTCACAGCCAAGTGTGACGGACACTAGTGTGTATACAAGAATTGATTGAGAAAATTCAGAACAGTCCATGCGGTGTGGATTTTCCTCCTCTAGTTGCTTTCTTTGTAGTTCTGCTTCGAGAGCTGAGTTGTTTTTTGGACTCCATCTGTCCGCCTGGCCCTTGGACAGCTGCTCGGTGTGTCAGCTGGTGGCTTCAGGGACTCTGAAGAGAGGAGAGTTTGCTGGAAAAAAGAGGGAGGGGTCCAGCAGGGGCTCTGCAAACACATCAGTTTCTATCGTCCACCCCAACTGTCCTTCAGCACAGCAAGGAAAAAGGTTTTCCCTACTCATTATCGTGTTCCTTTTGTTCAGCTTGTGGTGGAAGGAATGTCGGTGGAAAGTGGGCATTGTTTACCATGCACTGGTCTGCATGCAGGCTCTCTATATTGTTCTAGAATAGTCTATTAGGTGACCTACATTAACTGGACCTCAGACTTTTCACCTCTATTGTATAATATTGACCCAAAAAGGCCATCGAATTGGATTTACTCTCTGAAAAATGGAATAACAATGCAACCAAGAACTGACACCAACCCCTCGTGTGTCACTGCAAAGGAATCTGTGCTGAGGAGAGGCAGCAGCTAGCCAGCTAACTCTGTGATTATATGCGACTGGAGTCAGCTGCAGGGCAGAGATTGTGACTGTCTGTCTGACAGGCTGACAGCCGGGGCTTAGAGAGGGGAGACCTTGCTCGTAGCCTGTGTGTTTTTTATGTGCGCGTGTGTGTGTGTGTTATGTGTTTGAAAGGGTTAGGGTGGGGTAGGGAGAAGGCTGTAAGTAGCTTGAGGCATCCTCATGTTTTATTTGAGTATTGATTTTTTTTTTTTTTTTGCTGTTCAGCTGATCGGTGGTGTGTGACACTAAGGCCTTGTGTTTTAGATTGGCCCAAAGAGTGGGGGAAGGGAGCATGGTCGGCAGGATGTCAGTCAACTGATATTATAATTCATCATTTGTTGCTCTTCAGGGTACTACGACCGCCAGGCGGGGACTCCAGCTTCACCTTTGGCACAGACGACAACTCGACCCCCCAGCGCAAGAACAAGATGGCCTCTAGCATCTTTGCAGAACCTGAGGACCCCCATGCTCATCGGAGGAACAATCCACCTAGTAACTCAGTCTAATATCAATATCAATATAACCTAGCTTAGTTCATTTTCCATGTGATAATATCAGGGCCAAAGGAATGAAAACAATATGGTTTTGATTTACAAGATAATATTAACTGTAGTTTGAGTTTTGCACCGGGGAAGCACTTATGTGAAGTCAAGTTCTAGCCTGCAAAAGAAGGCAGAACTACCAGAAGTCTTAAGTAAGCAAAAAACACCATGGAATTAATTCCTTTAACTTGAGCTAGGAAAAGATAAAAACTGGAGTGTTATTTAGTATTTTTCCATTTAGGTTGTCAGAAAGAACATCCCACGAGTGTAATGGCCAAAAAGCCCTGGAGCACTGGATAAGGGTAATTTGAAGCTAGGCTTTGTTAAATGGGTATGAGGATCAGCCCTCACTGGAAAGAAATAGGTCAGTTAAAAATGTGTCAATTGGTTAAATGTGTGGCCTTCTGTAGACATGAGGGAAGTTTTATTTTGAGAACACGAGGAGGAGCAGGCAAATGCAGCAGCAGGGGATATGAGACCTGTAAATGGCTTTAAGTTGTCAAGGTCACTGCAAACATAGAGCCACAGAGGCTTAAATGAAAAATTACTGTTGGCTGACATTATTGTACCTGCCTGTATGTTTTTAATAATCCAAGTAAACCTTGAGCAAAACATAATTCACTCTTTAGTATGCACTATTTTTATTGCTTGTAATTAAGGAAATAATTTTTTACCTATCTAGTCAGTGTTTGGTCAGGGCTCAAAGATCTGATAAAGTGCATAAAGTGGAAAATGCAGAACTTACAGCAGTAGGATTCCATTTCAGGCCAAGGCTGTTTTCACACTGGCCACTTTGTAGAAAACAGCGTACATGGTTTATCAAATTTTCTGGGTGTGTGGACTATGACGAATTCACGCTAAAATCATTATTTCAGCCTCTGACCTCTACAATCAGCAGTTGCTGACAGTAAAACCTGTTTCTGTTTCCATTGTTTCATTTGGGTCTAGGTTTAGTTCAGTTGTCCCACTTTAAGGCAAGACACTACAGGTGAATAGAGTAAAAACTAATAGATATCACCATAAAACTTCCCAGTTGATTTCTTACATTAAGACAAATGTTGTTTGTATCACAAGTTTTCTGAAATTTTATGGTTAAATTTGCAAATGATGCATTATGTAATTATATTGCACTTGTTGCATATATTTCCAGAACAGAAATCTGAACATCAGATAATGCCAGGTTCAAAATTCTTGTTTCATTTTGTTGAGTCAATGATTTTCACAAAGGGGATTTTGGATATCTCTTTTTATCAGCCGATAAATCAGAAAATACTGTCAACAGTACAAAGGAAATGACCATGTTTGGATGAGGACATCTGTTTCTGCCTGAATGAGCAAGGTTTATTACAATAGCAGGTTTTATAAGCATTGTGTTGCATCTGTCTGGCCT